CTTTGTATGGTTTAAATGGGGCTTCACGGGGCTCTGTTCTTTAATCAGGACTCAAACAGCAGGACTATAGCTGTGTCACGTTTGACATTTTTCTTTAAAGTACTAATACACCGATCAGGCATTACATAATGACTGCTGACAGGTGAATAACATTGATTATCTCTTCATCATGCCACCTGTTAATGGGTGGGATATATTAGGGAGCAAGTGAACGTTTTGTCCTCAATATTGATGTGTTTAAAGTAAGAGAAATGGACAATTGTAAGGATTTGAGTGAGTTTAATAAGGACTAAACTGTGGTGCCTTAGATGGCTGTTTCAGAGCATCTCCAACACTGCAGCTCTTGTAGGGTGTTCCCAGTCTGCAGTGGTGAGAATCTATCGAAGGTGGTCGCAGTCAGAAAGAGTGGCGAACCAGTGATAGTGTCACGGGTGGCCAAGGCTCACCGATGCACGTGGTTCATACGCTCCATGTATTCAACGATCCATGGAGGCCCCACCTCGGAACTTACAAGACTTAAAGGATCTGTTGGTGACAATTTGGTACCAGATTCCACAGCACAGCTTCAAGTGGTCAAGTGGAGTCCGTGTCTCAGTGGGTCCGGGTCGTTTTGGCACCGAAAAGGAGACCAACAGAATATTGGGCAGGTGTCATAATATTACACCTGATCAGCGTTTGAAGTCCATCCATATATAAGTAAGCCTTGTTAGTTAATGTGGCATATTTTAGAGCAACTTGCCTTTTGTCCTATTAGAAAACAAAGAAAGCTGGTTAAAGATGTCACACAAAGAGTCAGTCAGTGTGGTAACCAAGTGTAGAGTGATCCTTAAACAATCAGTAGACTGCCTCACACTTTGAGTACAGGTATCAAAAAACACAAGTAAGAAAATAGGCATGTGGGAGAGGAATAGTTTATATATAGTTATATATTAAAAGCTTTGCTTAAACAAAATTGAAATCATAAAAGTAGCAGAGGTAGTTAACGGTGACGTATCACAGCACGCGTATTATTTTAAGGCTATTTAAGGCATGGTTCATCTTGCTTTAGAATAGGTAACTCACTCCAATGATTCCTAATGTAGGGGTTAAATCACAAATTAAAGATTTTAATTATTTTAATTACAGGTGGTTGGTATAGCAAAATGATATCACAACATTTCAAGAAAATCTCCAATAATTCTTTTTCGGTCGATATAAGGAAAAACAAATACTAAATAACATTCAGTCAGACATTGCAGCTTGCAGGCAGGAGCATTTACTTATTGGTGCAAACAACATGAGCAACCTTTTTCCTTTTCCTTCTTTTCCAGTGAACTAGTGTCACTGATGACAGACTACCTAATTCACAGTGTGAATCCATTACCACAAGGTGCAGCAGCATTATAGTGCAATACATCAAATGCAAACCCAAAAGCAGCTTAGTCAGTGTTTTCCAAATGTCAAACATTTAAGTAAATAATAATAGCAACAAAAATAACAATAATATTAACAAGTCAAGTGATGTAACCTTGAAACTCTTATAGAGCCTGCACATTACTATCAAATAATAGAACTTGAATTGATTAATATCTTCCACCTGAGATGTTATATCTTGGCTCAGACCTTTTAAGCAGTTGATTAAAGCCGTGTAACTGCATCACTAATTTCCACCCACCACTTGGTCCTCCTGTCATGTAGAGTCTAACTAGTGAGATTCTCGGTTGAGTCATTTGATTACTTTTTGGTTTCACTTCAGCTGCGATGTCTCCTCTTTGTACTGGTGGTTTTGCCTCAAGTTGGGGTTTTTTCCCACCTTTAGCTGTAACAGCTTTCTAGCAGTCTGGATTTGTGCACTAGCAACATAAATGCAGATTATAGATATCATCAGTATCATGATAGGACACTTTTATATTGCGTACAAATTCACTTTTTAGAAGTAACGCCTCCAGCGTGGCACCCTTTATTTTAACATTACAACAAATTATCATCAGGCTCATCACAACAGCTATATCATGCATTCAATGTATTGAGCATAATCATCTGTAAGCTGCTTTGCAAACCGCCCCTGCCCCAGTTTTTTCTTTCCATTCTGTGCACAGCTCAATAAATATTAGATCTGTTGTTAGCTGTGGTATCAGCTTTGTTCTTTGCATGTCTGGCTCTAGCTTTTCTTCTGTTGCACATAAAGAGAGCTATACTGCCAAATATAAGTTACTTAAATTATTAATAAGAATCTTATTGTGACTTCATAGGTCCTCAAAAAGATTGTAATATTTTAAAAGCAAGTAAAGCACTAAGTGGTCTTTGTATTCTGGCATTTGGACAGCGTAACAGTAATCTGAACAAAATCTGAGTCATTCAGGCAACTTTTGTATTAGCTCAAGTGCTCTGTGTCTATATAGAATAGAATAGAATAGAATAGAATAGACTTTATTGTCATTGCACATGTCACAAGTACAAGGCAACGAAATGCAGTTTGCATCCACCCAGAAGTGCTTGAGCCATGATATAGATATATTACAATATATATATATATATATATACACACACACACTGAGGGTGTGATTCTAGGTCAGATATTTGAACAAATGTAGTGCACTCTCTCCCTTATTTTAAATGTGTTCACACTCTATTTCCCAGATGTATAGCATGTTGCAGTATGAGGAGGAACTATAAAAACTATGAAATCTACTGTAGGTGGCCCCACTGGTATGTTGAATGGCAGCACGGATATTGTTGCTGTTTTGTTTCAGTCCAGTCTGAACTGTGTCAGACTTGTAATTGCTCTCTGACGGTGGTCTCAAATAAGTCGCTAATTGGCAATTTTCCTGGCCGTGCTTGTCTGCCAACAAGCAGACTGGCATTTTTGTTTGGCTAGTAGATAGCTGTCGTCCTTTTATACCCTCCCCAAAGCCTATGTGTCTATCCAAGATATCAAGGACATTCAAATATGTATTTATTGCAGGCAGTTATATGAGACAAATTGCACGGTTGTGCTTTTTTTTCCTCTTCTTTTTTCAAGTTCATTCTGTTACTCTTTTTAGACCTTTAAGCAAAGCCGAATGTGCGGCTTTCGAAAAACATGTTTTTCGACCTTTTATCCAAGCAGACTTCAGGTGTGATGAAAAGGGTTTTTGACTTCCATTCCACGTGAATGAGACGCTGGTGTTTTTAGAACAAGCGCCCAGGTTTTATGATGACAAATGGCCTATTTTAGTGACACCCAACAACTCACTGCTAGCTGTCACTTCTGTTCCTGCATCACTGCCTGATGAGACTAAAATAGTGTTCGAGTCTGACACCTCCTGAAAAACACAACTAAAAATAAGCCCTTAATGGAGGAAATGACAGAGTAGTACGATACGGTTTTACCCAGAGTAATACAAGCCTTCTGCCAATATGTGACTATGATCATTCATCTCTTACATGCATGCAAATTGATTCACAGGAATTGCTTTTTCTGTTTTCTTTTTTAAGTCATCTGCCTGAGACATGTCCTTGAATGCCAATTTGTGGCAGTCATAACAAACGTTTTTACACAGATTTCCAGTTGTTTTCTTATCAAGGCAATTGACTGTGCAGGATTTTTGAGGGGGAAAAAAACAGGAAAAAAAAGGCTTTTCTGGCTAAAGATAAACTCTCCTGCTGTAGTGCTCAACCAGTCTTGGGTTATGCTGAGAATGTCGCCAATTTACAATGAAATATTTTTCCATAAAAACTGAAAGTCTTAGGCAAGTGTAACATGTAAAACATTTAGTATGGTCCACTGAAGTTCAAAGAAAATTTTTCTTTCCGTCTGGAGTAATTTGTATTTCGTGGCATGGCAACAAAATGATCTAGCACAGCTGGCATCAGTGACAACAGAGTCGACATGAAGTCAGGTGGGTTGCTGAGCGGCTTGCAGTTGTTACAGAAACTGTTGGCAGGCTACAGAAGATTCAATAGCACACACGTAATGAGATGTGCCAGTTTGCTGAGAGACTAGCTGATCTGTGCTGGCACTGATATCATCTGATCTGCCAGGCCGGCAGCTGAGCTCGACTTTGTAGCCTGCCTGAACTTGTTGGAATTTTCAATTTACGGATGCCTGAATGCTGGTTTTGCTGGTAGTTCCATACTAACAAAATTCTCTTTGTCTTCTTTACTTTTAAGAGTATGAGATTTATAGAAGGGTCATTACATTAAGGATAGAAAAACTAAATTGCTGATGTATAAGACAACTCCTTTGCTGTTGTGCTTTTTCACAGTTTTCAGTTAAGTTGTCTTTTTGGAGAACTTGCCATGGTTCTTCTGTGGATTTCTGCCTGTTTACGTAAATTCCAGATTATCTCTGTGGGGGCAGATCATCTCCTGCATTACTTGCTCGTCTTCTTGTTTGCAGAAGATATTTTTGTGCCTTACATTTGGGTTGTTCTCATCATGTAGAATCATTCTGGGACTTGTCTCTCTGATGTTAGTGAATAATAGATAACTCTTAGCTTTTTCCTGAAACTTTGCTGTTATCATTTGTGCTCTAATACAGATTTTGGATAACTGTCTGCAAACAGTCCACTGTATTAAGAACTGTCTGGTAGTAGGAGACAGGTTGCATTACAATGAACTACTGAGACTTTCACTGGCTTACTCACCATAAGTCACTCTCTGCTGCCATCTTGTGGAATTTCTGAAGTGTGTGAGGACTGGGTTATTCAACATGTGTTGCTCACAGTTTGGAATTTCACCAGGAAATCTAATAATCTAGCATTTAAGAGAACTGTAAAAAGAGACCATTAAAAAAAGATGTTATACTATTACATTATGTAGTACTCTTGTGTACTACACAAGCATTGAAAGGCCCATTTATAGAAAACTGCAATCTTAATTTATTAACTAGAGTACATACCTGAACCTAAGTGATTCAAATGTAATGCAAAGCACCTCCAGTTAAAATTGCAATACTACACTTTCGTCCTATTTATGGCAAATGTCTGCTGTTACCCTTTGCTAATCACTTGGAAATGTTTGCCCTCTGACACACTCAGCTGTTCACTGCAACCTGAGCCAGAATGGCATCGACCACCAGATGTGCCAGGAGAATATGACGTCGCAGCTGGAGGAAGAGGAAGAGTCTGTGGACGTGGGGTCTGTCCTGCTGGATGACGACAGCCCAAGCTATCAGGATGTCAGCCCTCCTAGGTACCAGCGGCGCTCCCCGCCACACCGATCTGTCTCAGAGTCTGAGCTGACCCGGGTAAGAGTTGTTCTGCCACATCTATCACAGCACAGTAGTCAACACAGCAGAAGTATTTTTCTTTTAATCCAGAGAGCATTGGCGTATTGGTTTTGGTTTTCAATTTTTAATTTTCCAATTATTAATTATTTAATCTCCTGTTATTTCAAGCATATAACAACTCCAACTCCTCTTTTTCTTTGCAAATCTGTACTCTCTGTGTCTCCATAGTGCCATAGGGCAGTGGTATTTTTTAAATATAATAATAAATGCGAATTCACTATGTAATTGCCTAACTTTATTGGCAGCATCCTCCTACAATGACCAACAAATTGAGTGTAACATCCTCCTCTCTGTCCCTTAATACTCTCTGGTCACTATGGTAACGTGTAAATATTTCTTTGAAAACACACAACTACAACACGGGAAAAGACCCAGGGAAACTGAGTTAACGATAAAAAAACCCCTGAAAACCATAAATTTCACAGCCCGGAACCAAACGACTCACTGGTACCAGTCCGTGTCCCGGGGGTTGGGGACTGTTGCCATAGTGTCTTCATAGTGTTTTCTATGGCTAATGATTGATGGCTAATATTTATATTACATATTTGTCCATTAAGTCTGTGAGTTAGACACATGAGTTTAGAATTGAAATAGTCAGGGGGAGTGTTTTCTCACTACTGGGATGATTTGGGTGACGGTACTGTGTGAGTATTGCAGGTGGCAGCATGCTGAATGACCAGTTTCTAGTAAATACTAAATACACTGAACTGTTACATGTATTATCTTTTATATTATTTGGGGGGTAAAGACTGTTTAATGTCTTTTGATGAGTAGTGTTTTGAAAAATTCAGGGCTGCTAGGTACATTTTAAAAAAGAATGTCTCTTTGCATTTGTCGAGGGAGTTGTAGTTTGATCTTTAACTGTGAAATTTTCAAAAGGTTTTTAATGCCTTTGAAAAATCCATCAAGTCCACAGACTGTGCGTAAAAGTTGGATATAAGCTCTCAGTGTGTCATAAATATATATTTATTTTAAAAGCCAGCATGGGCACAATGAAAGTGTGACTGTATAGAAGTCTGTGAGAAAAAGGACCCTAATCCTCATTTGACTAAAATTTAAACATTTTGCCCAGTTATGGTCTCAGCCGCTATTTTCTGATCTTTTTTCCTTTCAGCATAATGTTGTAAATCAATCAAATCTAGAGTAAAATAAACAATAAACCTGGAAATAAAACCTGCTTTGGGGGTGACTGTTATTTCAGTTTTTATTGCTTTATGGCTGATTAGCTGCAAACAGGTTTGCTCTACATTCTGGCTTGACAGCAAGCTTCAGGTCCAAATAGTTCAATGAATTCTTTTGTTTTTCCCAAAATAAATATAGGCCACCTCGAGCGCACTAAAAACTGAAATGATGAAAGTCTTAGTATTAGATTTACACTTGTGACCCCTCAAATTAGCTGCTTTGTTTTAGATAAAAGTGTAATTACTGTGTTTTCTTAAGTGCTAATTAGCAAATGCTGGAATGCTAACAGGCTAAACCAAGTTAATGAAATGCTCCACTGTATCTAAACAAAAGTATAGCACTCGAAACACTGTGGCACAAGTTGTCAGATCTCACAAGGAATTCACAAAGCATGCTTAGCTGCACTGTGGCGATATAACTGCACTTATTACTCTTATTTGAAGATACATTGATGGTATTTGTTGTCACATTATGTGGAAGGCAGACATCCTTTTGCTTTCCACGCACAAAATAGTATGCCAGTCATGTAGATAAAGTAACCCCTTGTGTTTCTGTCCACCTTGTAAGCACCAACAATAACTTTAATGTGGAATAAGCAGTGACAGACAAGCTGTTGTTTTCCTTGGTGTCCCTGATAATAGATGAAAGGACCCATCAACAGCAGTGAAAACTCATAAGTTGTTTCCTCTCCAGAAATAGACGGATTGGGAGAGGAGCGTTTACTTCCAACGTATGCAAACCGCCATATGCTCTTTTTCTTTGCTGATGATCAGTTACGACAATGAAAGAAGATTAAAGTACTTTGAGTCCGACACCAGCTTCTGTGTAAACCTCTTTGAAATACCAGACCTGCAGCCTGGCCTGGTTGAATTAGTGCAAACAGAAAGTTGCAGAAATTATTTGACAACTTTCAGCCTCAATGTCACATGTCCCTGTGTGCTGGATTTAATATCTCCTATCTTTGGAAAAATCTAAGTAGACTAGTCTAGAAAGAGTTTAATTATGTCTCATAGTAATCTGTACTATCAAGCTTTGGAGACACAGGACAGATAGTATTTATCAGTACTTACAGGATTTGAGGTTAATTAAATGGTGTTCAACTTCAATGAATATTACATATGTGTGCTATTATATGACCACATCCTTTCACATTCTGTATGGCTCGGCATATTATTTTTGATTTCATAAATATGCGTGCACTACCAAGTCTAAATCACGGTGATGCTTCAAAACCTCCCGTTCCCTCATGTCAAAGTCCTCATAAGTGAAACTCTCACCACTCGGCTGTCATCTAGGGAATGCCTCCTGGCAGTTATATGTGCAGTAGGTGATCATCTTAAAAGCACAGAGCATAGAAACGGCAACCAAATCCTGTACTGTGATACTTAAAAAATTTGATGTTTATTTGCTGCAAAATAAGGTTTGAGCACCTTAGCATCAATGTCTTTAGCTGATCCCTCCAGAGTGTTATACTAATGCTATATTTAATAGTATTATGGGTGAAAAGCCAAGAAAAGTACACTTTCTTACATCTTTACAACAATCTTAACAACAACATTTGTGCTGCGAGCAGGCGTCAGTGGCTCATATGTTCCCGGGTTACACTGTTGTTTGGCTCCTTGCCTCCTCTGTTACAGTATTTTCCCCTTAGATTTCTCTTCAGCACTCCCTGATTGTCATGTCCCTTCATTACAATGTCTCAACTCATTTGCTTGTTGGTCTTTGTGTGGTGCCAAGTCAATGGACCCATCAAGACAAGACCATTGAGGGGGCCGTGTGGAGTGTTGCACCATCAAATGTTGCTGCCCGGGGTGCATCAAGCCTCTCAAGTTTATCTGGGAACAGTTAAAACATCTTGCCATCAGTTCATGCCTTATCTCTCCTCAGACCACTGCGAGTTTGTACTCAACAGTGCCAAACTGGGCCACTTGATAAGTGTTGCTCTTTCAGATATGTTCCCGTCCAGTCATCTGGCTGCAACTTCACCCTTGCCAGTCACTTAGTTCTTTACTGCTGCCCATTTGCGCAGCTTTAACAGCCAAATGTTCAGTTATAGTCTAATTAATCCCAGACCTTGAAATGCATCATTGTATAATCAAAGTTATTCACTACATCTGTGAGCAGTCGTAATGTTTTGGCTTGTCCGTGTATATGCATATGAGTCCAGGGACTATATATCTTGCAAATAGAAATTCTAATCAAATGTTGTTGGCTGTTAAATAACAGCAGCCACGCAGAGGAAACTGAGAGTCTGTATTAATTCTAGAGTCAACACAGCACTCGTGATTGATACCTCGCCCCGAGAAATCTAAATCCTGTTTAACTGAAACTTCCCGGTGCCACATTCGAGTGCTTTTTCAGCCCTACAAACACATTTCAGTTGATAGAAGAGAAACGTTGCCAAGCTTCGTTGGCTTTTCAGGTGAGAAACTCAACATTTTGTCAGGATTGCTGACTAAGAGGGAGAGTTTGATGCTAGGGCTCATTCATCTCATTTTTCATGTGGAGTGTAAGTACCTGTTTTAACGATCCATCAATTAGCACTGAATAAATGTGAAGACATAATAAATCCGGACCTTTGTGCCATTCTGTGGAACAGCATACAGCAGGTCATTTCAGTTCATCACATCAGCAGCGTTAATTTTTAAATATTGGATTAAAGTTGAATCATGCGCCTGCTCGGATTTATAATCGAGTCAAGGCTCAGCCATAGATTAAACATGAAGCATAAAACAGCCATTTAGACTCTGTGGATAGCTATAACATCCATAGCAAATAACCTCATCTCAGTCGTAATCAATATGAAGCCCAAGGTGAATATATCTTGTTTGGTGTTAACACGCCCTGCTATGCTTTATGGACCCCGCTGAATCCCAAGGTCAGGTGCTCTGAAGGGATCTGGTGTACTTTCTTTGATGTGCCTGAGTAAAGTTGGCATCGCCTGTAAATCCAATTTCAAACAGAGGCTCCTTATTAAGGCTTATTAATTTTCCCAGCACAGCGTGTTATTCTGTCGGCTATCCACAGCTCTCTGGACTCCTCTCTACCCTGTCCACTCACACATACACGCACCCGTATCACGGTTTTATCCCAATTCCTGTATGTAACAGATTAATTAATACAGGGAATTTTCATCTCCTGCCAGCTCTTGCCGAGAGAAATGGAGCGAGGCAGAAAGAAAAGAAAGCGAGAGAGAGAACATGCCAGAGCTGTTAATTAGCTGTGCAGTGGAGATAGGGCAGGCGACACAGGGCTCCGTGTCTCAGACACCCATTCACTCAGTCAACATGACATTAATGGCAGCTGCCTTGCTCTTCTTAGTGCTTCTCCGTCAGTCTGCAGTTAAACGCGGAGGCAGTGTTTAGTGGTGACACTAGAGGGTAGTATATAACAGGGAATGTGACTCGTGTAACATAAGGAAGTTCAGGATGGAGGAAGAAGGAAGCGTCTAATACGACCTTTCAGTTTTCCCGCTGCTGTTGAGAACTGAGGGATGGAATTAAAAGGTAAAATCAGGATTAGATTTAGGGTTAGAAGTTGGATCTAAAATTATAACTTATACAAAGAATGAGATATAATGTGGTAGCACTTTGTTTTAAGACCTTATGTAAATACAGGATTGCGTTTTAGAGAAGCTGTGAGTGTATTGGTATATTTAGCTATAACAGTGTTTCCAAATAAGCTGTAATGCTGTCTAGAATAAAAACCAAAATACAATTTTGCAAGTTTGCAGTTGATTTAATCTCTAGATTTAATTGAAAGTAAAAATAAAAAAC